GGGAAGTGTGAAGGAAGCCCTGGCTTACAGCTGAGACCCTGAGAGGCCTGGTGGCTCTCACTGAATGACGCGGGAGCCCTGCAGGAAGCTCAGACCCAAAGCAGCTGCCCCTGCAGTCTAGCCACAGAGGTGACATATTTTGCCCTGGACACCCAGGTCTCTCCCCACCCAGCCTCCAAGACACCGTTGGCCTCTCCAGGTGGTCCTGGAAGCTTGGAGGTGCTGCCACATTCAGAGGAGACACAGGACACGGGACACATACCTTCCTTGGCACAGGCCAGGCCGCCGGATCCCCCGCCGATCACCAGGAGATCATAGTTCTGCTGCCCTGCCGGGGGAAGGCACGAGAGGTGAGAAGGGAGCCGGCACGGGGCTGGGCGCAGACTCCAAGGCCCCCACGATTCGCGAGGGACAAGAGGCTCCACTCGGTTATAGGGACCAGCAGTTAGCATAATGGCTATGTCGCTGGACTCCCACATAGTCGACCGCGGTTCAAGTCCCGGACCCAGTGACTTAAACTCATGCCAGGCATGTGTGCGTGCGTGCCCAAGATCCCGAGAGGAGAATGGAGGAGAAGGGATTGCGGCGTGGCCATCCCCCCTGGGGGGTGATTTCTCACTTTCTCTCTATCTCTCTGTCTGTCTGGCGAGCGCATGAGTCCTATAGCGAAAACCTCTCCAAAGAAAAGAAAAAAAAAAAAGAGGCTTCACTGTGTTGGACGTGGGAGAAGGTCTATTTTATCAGGATGGGAGACTCCGTCTACGGCAGTCAGGGGTGACAAGGTGGCATGCATCTGAAGAAGGCGACCACTCCAGCACCATGACGCGAGTTCAGGGGCCACGCGATGCGCCTACACACCACGCCCCACGGCCGCGTGAACCAGCAGGTCTTTCCTGAGCCCTAACCTCACGCCGCACGCTGAGCCCAGCACAACTAAAATGTGCTCCTTGAGCTCTGTGCCTTTCAGCCGTCAAGGCGACCTTCGCGACAAGGACGAGAACAGAAACATCGCTCGCCACGCGGAAGCTAGCAGGCATGTACGGGGGAGGCCCTGTCTGTGTCATTCCTCTCCTCTGCAAGCTCCTGGCATTGACGGCAGGGAGAGATGAAGAAGGGGTTTGGGGTGTGCTTGGACCTGGACCCTAGGTGGGGGACACTGAACCCCAGGCACCTGCCTGCTCTCTGGGGACGGAAGGAATGAGAGTTACCAGTTTACAGGGGTGAGGCAGGGCAGGGACTGGAGAAAGAGGTCTGGGGTATGTAACAAGCACACCCTCAGTCCCTCTGCAGACCGAGCTCATCTGGACAAGGTGGAGTGCCACCCCCCCGGGGTGCCAGGACTAGCTGCTACTCCCGAGCAAGCCCTAGGGGCCCGTGATCAAAGCAGGGTCTACATCCGAGGTGGGGTGTCCCCTCCGTACCAGCAAGGAGCCTGGAATCATTACGGTAAGGCCAGGCCTGCCTCCCCAGCTACCTCCACCTTCCTGGGCAGGCCGGCCACTAAGAAACACCCACCACCGGGGCCCTGGCTATAGACGCCCTATGCACAGGGGTCTGCAGGGGCACGGCTGGAGGCCAGGGAGCTGCCAGCCAGGGCCCACATCCACACACTCGGGCCGTGTAGCCCACAGCCGGACCCACCAAGCGTCGCCCAGCAGCCCGGCATCTGAGATAAACGCATGCGACGTGGGCATTGATGGGGCCGCGGCCAGTTCCATGTGCTCACAAGCCCTCATCAGCACAGGGACCCTCGAAAGGCCTAACCTCCCACACGTGGCAGAACCACGGCTGACTACTGCTGCAAGAGAGGCTGCAGGGCAGGGCCGGGTTTCCCCTCCCGCGGCCTGGCGGGGGGCTGGGAGGCCCCGAGAACACCCCTACCTTCCATGGGAGGTGCCTGTCCTGCCCGTGGCTGGAGCAGGGTCCTGCTGGGTCGTCCTGCCTGCAGCCCTGCTCCGAGTTCCCTGCGTGCTTATCGCTGGCAGCTGGCTCTCCCCCCAGCCCACGCCCAGGAGCCCTGTCTGTCTGATAAGCCTTTGGAAGGACCCAGCTGAGGCGGAGGGACCCCCGGAGAGCCCAGGGCAGGTAAGGTAGGTGCCAGGCGGCCGATGTCACCTGGGGACACACCTACGCACTTGTGCTCTCTGCCTTAGCCCTCCAGAAGTCCCTCTGCCTCGCTGCCCAGACCACGCTGTTCTTCAGCACTCCCTGCTCCTCTGCCCGCCTTCCATGCCAGGAGCGTGTAGAGAGCAGGGGCCCAGAGAGTGTGGCAAGGCCTCGGGTAAATGGGGCACAGCTGCTCCGAGGGTTGGCAGGAGGTTCCCCACAAAGCACGCACCCACAGGCCCCCGCCTCGGGAACCTTAGGGTGGCTGTTCTGCCCCCCTCGCGCGCTCTGTGGGCAGCAGGGGTTCGGAGACAGGGGACACCAGTAATGCTGCTTTGGTTTCTTCTCTGGGTCTCCATGGGCCACTCCCTCCCAAGCTTGGGACAAGGCAGAAGTTTTTCTACTCCAAACAGAGAAATTGCAGGACTGAAACGGAGCCTCAAAGCCGGACTCCAGAGCCTGTGAGGTCGGCGCCCTCTCCTGCCCTATCCGCTCGTGACCCCAGCACACCCAGGGGCAGAGGCCTCCTCTCCGGCTGGCAGGAGGGCTCTGCCCCAAGGCTGTGTTCACCCAGCACCCTGAAGGGCCCTGGGCTTGTGACCTCGGTCACAGCCTCTGGGGCTTTTTCTGCACCCGGCAGGGTAGGCCTTGGACACACAGGTGCGTGTGATTCCCATGAACGCACCCGCTTGACCCACGTAGCAAGGAGGCTTTGAAAGGTGGGGTGCCCTGGCCAGGGCCCTGGGGCCAGCAAAGCCACCATAAAGCTGCTGCCTGGTCCCTCAGTATCCCCAGGTTCCCATTTTATGAGGTGGTGACCACCAGCCCCTCAGGCCTTGGCAGGGCCACCCTCAGCCCTGAGCGCCCCAAGGTCTGGACAGTAACTGCTCTGCCCATTCATCCCACAGCCCTCCCACTCCGCCCCGGGGTCAGCATCTCCTCAGGGTCCCTGCTCACAACCCTGCAGGTGGCTCCCTGCCTGTGGGGAGAGCTGAGCTCTGTCATGGGCCACCAGTCCCAAGGAACAGGGTTGGTGGAACCGGCACCCTGCAGGCACACGTGGGGGGTGGGGCACAGGGCACAGTTAACTCGGTGGGATGGGCCATGCGTGGTTACAGAGTAGGGGAGCCCTCCTGCAGACTGAGCCGTGCCCAGCCCCTGCTGCAGGCCCCAGGAGTTGTGACCACTGTCCTACTTTGGTGCCTGTCCCTAGGTGGCCCGGGGCCCCTGCAGGGCTGCATGCAGCGGTTTCTGGCAAACCGCCTTCGTTCCTCCGGTGCAATTACAAGGAGCGCCCGCCGTGTGCAGGCCCGAGGGGAGTGGGGGGGAGGGCGCCCGTTTTGGCCACGGTGGTGCCTGGTGACGCGGAGCGGGGACATCTCGTACTCGGGACGGTAGTTAAGACCGGACTCGGGGGTGGGAGCAGCCAGTGGGTCCACCCGCTTCAGTTTCGCCATCCGGGAAGGGGAC